ATGTGATGATCGCAGTTTGGTGCATTCAGGAGGATCCATCACTCAGACCCACAATGAAGAAAGTCACACAGATGCTTGAAGGAACTGTTGAAGTCTCAGTTCCACCTGATCCTTCCTCTTTTATAAGTTCAGTATTTTGAGTGCTTGCAATTATAATTCCACTTTTCTGGGTATCAGAAATTTATTATGTCTCAATAAACAGAAGAAATTATTTTATTTCGCAAATATATGTTCATTCAATGCATTGTAAGTTGTAACCATTTTCTGTGACATATATAGCATGCACCAAATATTATTGCATATTCACAAATCAATTAATCAATTTACCATTTGTTTTACATACCCAGGTCTCACATTAATTGGCTGCTAAAACAGAGGCCAGCCTTCCTTGTACAAGACTGAAAAAATAATGAAGGAACTTGGAAATTTAGTCAGGGAAATTCTACATAAGAAAGATTGTAACTTTAAGAAACACGACAGAAAAATGTGATGAAAAAAGCTAGACCCACATAAGAATTTGTAAATTTGGTAAGAAAAACAAAGAAATCCAAAGAGAGTGAGAGAGAAGACAAAGCAGTACCTGTTGAGACATGTCTGCCAAGGTCAAGCACTTGTGCTGCTGCGACTGATAGGTGAAGTTGAATGAAAATGAGGTCCGGCCCCTTATTTAAATGAAGGAACTTGCTTTTCCATAAGTTATACCGTACCCTTGAGCTGGATAGGCCATCCCTTCTGTCAATTTTCAAGATTCAAAATTTCATATACAGAGGGAGGCCATGAAACAGTTATGGGTTTGAATCATCTATGCCGTTTATGGAGTACATTTTCACGTCAAGAAAATGGCACCTTTTTCGTTGTTCAAGTTGTCTCCAGACCATTTGGCTTTGTGCTTGCAAAAATGCCTGAAAGCGAAGGCTCTGAGACAAGGAAAGCAAGTTCATGCAGTGTTGTTAACAAGTCGGGTTGACATGAACTTGTTATCTTTGAGCTCAAAGCTTGTTGGGACGTATGCTAGTTGTGGGGATATGGGTTCTGCAAAGCTTGTGTTTGATAAAATTCCCAAGCCAAATGTTTTTGCATTAAATTGGATGGTGTTGGCCACTGCCTTTAATGGGCATTATGATGAAGCAATTGGGTACTTTTATTTGATGCAAGAATTGGGAGTTATTGGCAATAAGTTCACGTTTCCAGTCATGCTTAAAATCTGTGTTGGCTTGATGGATTTGAATAAGGGAAAAGAAGTTCATGCTGTGGTAAATAAACTTGGTTTTGCAAAGGATGTCTCTTTTGCAAATGCCTTGATAGATATGTATTGTAAATGTGGAAGTGTATGTCATGCTCACCGTGTGTTTGACAGAATGCTCGACAGAGATGTTGCTTCTTGGACATCAATGATATGCGGGTATTTTAATGTAGCAAAGACTGATCAAGCCCTTCTTTTGTTCGAGAGGATGAAGTTGGATGAATTGGAACCAAATTATTTCACATGGAATGCAATGATAGCTGGGTTTGCTCGGTGTGGAGATACAGAGCGAGCATATGCACTTCTCTCTAGAATGACTGAAGGAGGACTGGTTCCAGATTTGGTTACTTGGAATGCAATAATTGCTGGTTTTTCCCAAAGCCAGCATGCTGGTGAAGCATTTAAACTGTTCCGTGTCATGTTGCTGTCTGGAACTAAACCGAACCTTGTGACAATCACAGGGTTGCTCCCAGCTTGTGGGTTGATTGGTTCAATTCAAAGAGGGAGAGAAATTCATGGATTGATCTATAGGAGAGGCTTTGACATAAATGTCTTTGTTGCTAGTGCTCTTATTGATATGTACTCAAAATGTGGCAGTGTGAAAAAAGCTCGAAGTGTATTTGACCGGATTCCTGTAAACCACGTTGCATCATGGAACGCATTGATTGGATGTTATGGCAAGTATGGTATGGTTGATTCCTCCATAGAGCTTTTTGAAAGAATGCAAGAGGGAGGAGTGCATGCAAATGAAGTGACTTTGACATGTGTACTTTCTGCATGCAGCCATAGTGGTTATGTGGAAAAAGGCTTAAAGATTTTCAGGTCCATGAAAGGGAGTCATGGAGTTGAGGCAAGTAAAGAACATTACGCTTGTGTTGTTGATCTCTTGTGCCGGTCAGGGAAGATGGTAGAAGCTTACGAATTGATCAGGGAAATGCCTGTTGAGGTCACTGAATCCATTGTTGGCGCCTTTTTCAATGGGTGTAAAGTCCATGGAAGAAGAGATCTTGCAAAGATGATGGCTGAAGCTATTCTAAAAATGGAGTTAAAGAGACCTGGAGGTTTTGTGACACTTTCAAATATCTATGCTGCTGATGGAGAATGGGAAGAGGTTGAGAAAGTAAGGAAGGTGATGAAGCAGAGGAAGGTCCTCAAGAAACCTGGATCTAGTTGGCTTGATAAAGGGATGGCTTTGCAGGAGTGGAAGTAGAAAAGAAGTCAACGAAGTGTGTATCCAAGGTCTGCCTCTCATAAGATATAATCAGTTCAGTAAATTTTGATTTTTTTCCTCTTCTTTTTGTTTCACAAAAGCATCTCCAGTACAACTGAATTGAATTTTGTATTTGACATCATTGATCCGTCCAGCTTTCAAATGGGTGTGGCATGTAGTTTACATATGTGACCACTGATAACAAACTTCGGTCTGATTTCAAGAATGGGGATAAAATCTTCTCTGTGGTAACATAGAGATTCATAATCTACTCATCATGAACTTGTGTTCTCTTTCATCTTTGTATGCAGACAAGATCAAAATGGAGAAGATGATGGTGAATCTAAAGATGAAAACACTATTGGATTTGGTGGTTGAACGAGTTGCAGGTTTGCAACTTCACATTGTGGCCCTACATTCTTCCATTCTTCCTTTCTTTCCTTCAAACTGTTTTAAGTCACAATGTTTCAAAACAAGTTGGACAACATATAACTAATCCAATTTCCTGACAAGTGACAAAAGAATTACTCAAGATTTGATTATGACCTGTGTGACAGTCAATGTAAATGCCACATATGCAGCAACTGATAGTGAAGTGATCCATGCAAAATGTGCTCCAAATTTGTAAGCCAGTATACCTGAAACCAAAGATATCTGGAAAGGCACATGTCAAATCTGTTAAATTTGTTCAGTAAGAGCTATTCCAACCATGCAGCCCAGCCCGAGGGGCGGGGGGAAAAA